GTCGTGACCGAAAGGACAAGGTCGCGGCTACAAGCGGCCGAAATGAGCTTCCTCCGTAGGGTGGCCGGGCTCAGCCTTAGAGATAGGGTAAGGAACTCGGTCATCAGGAGGGAGCTTGGAGTAGAGCCGCTACTCCTTCGCGTCGAAAGGAGTCAGCTGAGGTGGTTCGGGCATCTAATTAGGATGCCTCCTGGACGCCTCCCACTGGAGGTTTTCCAGGCACGTCCAACTGGGAAGAGACCCCGGGGAATGACCTTCTGGTCATTAGTAGTGTTTCACCGTGTACCGATGCCAGACAGGTATCGCAATACCCTGCCGTTAAAATCTGTTCGATGCCCCATTTTATTAGTACCGGTTCTTTAAGAAAGACAATGTGTTCTATAAGGTGTGTGTGTGTGTGTGTGTGTGTGTGTGTGTGTGTGTGTGTGAGTGTGAGTGTGTGAGTGAGTGAGTGTGTGAGTGAGTGAGTGAGCGAGCGGTTGGTTTTAACTTTTCAGCAGTCAAAAAATAAACAGCGGGTCCCGGGATTTAGCTAGGCTTAACCAGCAGGATAGAGTCAAGAAATTAAGTTTAAAAGAAGATTAAATCAGGCCATGAACCGCTTGCCAGGCTGCACAGTGCCGCTCTGAGCTAGTGTCTGTGTCGGCAGAACTCCATTCAGAAAAACAACAAGATAAATATCCACGCAGCTCTAATCAAGGACCAAATGCTTTGATAAAATTACACTCACCATCTTTTCTGAATCTGTCAAAGCGTCTCCTGTAATTCGGTAAACACATAATCCACCAAACAGAGAGTGTTAGATTATTGTTTAATTGTTTTAGTATGTTTCTCAGTAACGTGAAATGGACAGAGAGGAAAAGCAGTCGACAGTGAGAGGGATATTCTCTTCACAAAACACAGTGCTTTTTACAGTTACTGCGGTGTCTTCTCTCGTCCACTTTTCACTGAACGTCATCTGATTTTATTATCATTTCATGTTTTTTTTGGTTTCGGAAGCCTCTCCCCATCTACCGTGATGCAGCACACTCTCTGCCTGATGCGCCGCTGGTTGCAAATGTTAAATTAACTATCAAAGAAATCACATCACACTGTACATCTTTCATCAATATATTTTTACATTTTTTTCATTATTAATGAAAAAGAATGTGAAGTTCCATCATTTTTTATAACTTTTCATGATGTTTTTCCGTGGTATCGTTTCAGTATCGGTATCGAGATATTTATCTTGTCGAAGTCACAATTTTGGTATCATGACAACTGTAGTCATTAGCAAGAAGAGAACTACCAACATCCAAAAATAGTTAAAAGTAGTTTACAGCTGTTCCGAATGGCCACGCTCAAAGGCAGGGTGTAAAACCGGACGTCACAGAGAGGGAGGAGACGTGATGATCCTTTAAATGTGGAGATAACGGCAGACACTTCTCAAAGGAATTCATAGCACTTGTTTGTTCATGTGAAAAGTGACAGATGTTCATAGTTCTGTAAAGAACTAAAAAAGCTTGAGAGAGAAGTTGGAACCCTGCTTATGTTCTCGCCTCCGCACAGCTGGCCAATCGTTGCGTGAAGTGGGCGTTAATGCTGGATTGTCAATTTCATAAAGAATTTGTTTGACGCCCCCCCCCCCCCCCCCCAAGTTCTGATGTTAGAGACGTGATGGGGAAGGCCGTTTGATCAACAAACTAGCACTTTAGTTGGCACTTATTGATGCCTTTAATGTGTGTTAACTACCAATCTACTAGTGTGGTATATTTGCAGGATGACAATGTCCAATCCAGGCCTCCCTGTTCTGCATCTTCTCCCCGTCAGTCCAGACTCGTCCTGTCAGCAAAAGTACCCCGTTCCTCCATTACGGCTGTCCGTGCTCTCTGACTGATGCCAGACACTCTCTTCACTCACACAGGCTGGTGCTCTCATCCGTGTCGGACTACTTCGCGGCCATGTTCACCAGCGATGTGAGGGAGGCCAAGCAGGACGAGGTGAAGATGGAAGGAGTGGACCCCGATGCATTGTGGGTCCTGGTGCAGTATGCATACACAGGTATCCAGATGCACACTGATCGCCACGGTGATGCTAAATAAATGGATTCATTTTGGTCTCAGTTCTGTAAAATGAAAGGACTTTCATGACCAGTCGCTTGAGTTCATGGGCGGTGTTGCCCTTGATCTTAAAACCTTTTCAATAATATATCTTAGACACTTTAAAATATTCAGTACTCAATTTTTTCGTGAGGTCGCTCTGTCTTCCATCCGTCTCCCCTCTGTTTCTTCCAGGCCGGCTCGATTTGAGGGAGGACACCATTGAGTCTCTGCTGTCTGCCTCCTGCCTACTGCAGCTGTTGCCAGTGGTTCAGGCTTGCTGTTCGTTCCTCATGAAGCAGCTCCACCCCTCCAACTGTCTGGGCATCCGCTCCTATGCCGACGCTCAGGGCTGCAATGACCTGCAGTGGGCCGCTCACACCTACACCATGGTTGGTTTCACGGCCACTTAACCTCTATTCCTTCAGGCTGTTGCAGAGCCACTGCGAGAACATGAATGAAACAACGTCTTTGGAAAATATTGATCTAAATGTGATGATGTAGATTCAGGTAGACCACAGGTGATTTTGACAATGAATTGATTAAGTAAGGACAATAAACAGGCTTCTTTCTCTGTGCAGTTTTCCCCGGTCAGGCCTTGATGTTATTCTCGCTAACAAATCGGTTCCTCGTTCGCAACGCGCGCCACACACCATTATCGCCACAATGGCGGTTTTCAGCACAGGGTTGCTATGGTGACTGTGAAATAGCTCCTCCATCGACTTGATTACTCTTTCTTTTCTTTTTTTGTTCTCTCCTGTGTTAGCGTGCCCTTCCTTCCACCCCGCCTCCCTCTGTGCGTCTGTCTCTGTCAGTGCCATCGTTCCTCTCTTTCTTCCTTTCTCTCTAAAGTGGATCATTGTTCAACTTTAATCCGTGTCGTAGAGGTGGCTTTATCTGGGTGTGATTGTAATTCACACACACTTATTATTCAAACACATACACATCTCACAGGATTATTACAGCCAATGTGTAAGAGCTACACAATAGACGGTGTGGAGAGTCATTTCTTTTTTTAAATATTTGTAATGTTTTATTTGTAGGAGTCACATTTACATGTTGCATGTTTTCTTCCCCTTTTCTAACATCGACAGATAATACTTCCCTCAAAATAGACAAGTAGATAAATGAATGAGAATAGCTATGGCGCGCTGTATAATCACAGCACAACAACATCAACCATTGTCATCATCACCTTCCTTATTGTCACAGCTGATACAAATACGAAGCATAATGTGGGCTAACACTTAAGACATTTGTATTATGGCCTCTATGTTTAAGTATCTAGGTTTCATTTCTATCCCATCCACATTCACTCGCTATTACAGCTGAAATATAAATCGATCATTTGATTCTCAGAAGATTAAGCTGCGTCCTATTTTGATAAGCCATGAATCATTCAAGACATTCTCTGGTACTAGCTTCTTAATTGTGAGGACTGTATTTTGTGATGGTATCGAGTAAGTATCTTTTTGAAAGTTGTGTCAGACATTTGTGACTATTTTGTGATATTGATTTATTAATGTGCCGATTAGTAGATACTGAAAATGGTTGGTTGCAGTCCTGCTCTTTGATTCTCCAGCAACCTTCCTATCTTATATAACTGAATCATTCCAACCTTTTCTCATCCAGCCCCCTTTGTCTGCAGCTCTTCATCCATCTTCCTCTGACCTTTCTCAAACCCTCATTTCCTTCCTTTTGTTTCTCTCTTCTTGCCTCCTTCTAACCCCTTGATCCCTTTCCTCTCTCCACTCATATCTTCCTATTGTTTTCTTTCTCCCCTTATTCCGTTTTTCATCTGCAACTCGTTTTTCAATCATCCAGTCTAAAGTGACCTTCACTACTCTTATAACCATTTCATCTCCCTGTCCACCAGGAACACTTTTTAGAGGTGGTGGGAGGCCAGGAGTTCCTGTTGCTCCCAGTGGAGGAGATGGAGAGGCTGATCACGTCGGATGACGTCAACGTGCCCGATGAGGAGACCGTGGTAACCTCTTTGCTAACGTGGGTCCGCCATGACGCCGCCATGCGACAGCGTCACCTGCCCTTGCTGCTGGCTCACATCCGACTGCCACTGCTGCAGCCACAGGTGAGAGCTGCATAGAACTCCGTCACATATCACGCCGTTGTTACTGACTTATTTAAAGCGACTATAATCGTTATTTTTATAATGACAATCGATGCGAAAAGCATACTGACAGGAGTCCCTCCCAATGATGAACCTACGGAGGATAATCACCCAAATCTGCAGCTTTACGGAGCTTTATAGCGAGTTTCAGCTCATTGTTAAGCCGTCCGGCCCTCAACTTTATTGTTTTGCTTCCATATTAGCATTATTGTAACAACGGTTTTAGTGAGAAACCTCTAAAAAGCCACTGTACGCTAACTGACCTGTGACAGACAGACACAGTTAGCGACTAGCTGGCGAACATAATGGAAGGGACCAAAAACAGAGCTAAAACATTAAGAATATTGGACTTACATTCACCAGGTGGACACAAACACGACTCAATGACTGATAATGTTGGTACATGTTGCTGTTCTTTTTCCATGGACAAAATTTTGTCTCTTGCTCTCTCCCTCCCCCATTCTTCTCTACCTCCTCCTGGCTCCAGTCCGTCTATCAGTCTCTATCCTCTTCGTGCAATTAGAGGGACTTTAATCATCACGCTAACTGTAGATCACAACCATTACCCTGTCACGCATGTGCTCGTCTTTGTTGTGTTGAAGTGGGTGCAAGTGTCTCCTCCTCTCTCCTCTTCCTAGTTTGTGAAAGAGTATCTCAACTGGTAATGCGATGCTTATATGCGAGGTAGAGCCTCGGTTACTGCCTAGGGCGTCGAATGCACACACACACACACACACACACATTTTAAACCTTAATTAAGTGTGATAACTCTCTTAACTGAAGCTAAATTATCTGTTCTCTTCATCTCCCTCCTCAGTCGTATCCCTTACTATTTATATGGGAACTGTGGAGATAAATCTCCCCTTGTGGCCCCCCCCTCCTCTTTCCATCTTCTCTGCCTGCGTCTGTACATCTCCCAGGTTTGCACTTGAACACCTCAGATATACGACTTTGCCCCGGTCAGCTGAAATCCCAAGCAGCTGTAACATGTAATCAGGCGAGAAGATGGATGGCGGAGAGGTGAAGCGGTGGAATAGCACTAGAGCAGAGAGAGCAGAAGCAAGGCGGTCATAGAGGGGTTCATTCAACCTTTAGGAGTATATCACCACCACCACCACGCTAAACTGATAAATGTGTTAACATTCAGCGACCTAATGAGCTGTGACACGCCAATAAAATGACGTATAAACCCCACACAGACGGCCGATCGATATTCATCTAGCAATTAGTCACATCTGTATCTAGGCCGCCGTGCAATTACTCATCAAAAGGACGTCAATGAACCCAAATGAAAACCTTAATCCCTTTTCCTTATTACCACTGTCGCACAAACACTGACGCATACACACTTGGTCTAATCTCCTCAGAGGTGCATCTGTGGGCTGTAAACTTGACCTTACGCACTGAACAGATTGTGTTTGCTGATTAATTTCTCAATCATTTGGTCTTAAAAATAGCAGAAAAAAATGTTCAAAGAGAAACATCTGTCACATCTTTGTTTTTTGCTTAACTTTCTGACAAGCAAACTGTCTGATCGTCCATTTCTATCCAACCAAACACCATGAGTGTAAATGCACTCCATGCTAACAACGACGTAGCTAACATGCTGCTATTTAGCGGGTGTAATGTTTACCATATTAATCACTTTAGTTTTGTGGGTTACAAATTTCTTGCTTCATCCTCTGTGGACCATGATTATGAGAAAACCACACACCGATCCATCTAAAATGGCTTAAATTATTTAAGCACTGTCAAAATATGTGCATAGAAATGTTTTGTCACTCAGCTAATTGATTAAGTAAAACCATGTCTTGCCGCGGAAATGAGAGGGGAGTATGTATGGGAGTGTGTGTGTGTGTGTGTGTGTGTGTGTGTGTGTGTGTGTGTGTGTGTCAGTCGTAGTGAACAAAGTCCAAGCTAAAACGGAGAGGGGAAGACTACTTCCTCACTTCCCACTGCGAGGTAAAGAGAGGACAGAGCGGTGAAAGTGGGACTCCTGCAGGACACAATCTCATCTCGCCCTCCACATTCAATCCTTCACAGCGTGATGGATAAATAGCACAGGAGAGGACAAACATGGTTTTCTATCTGTCCTTTATTACACATCAACTCAAATGAGTGCCGAAATGAGGTTTACCCTAATTCGTGCCTCGGTGTTTGTGTGCAATGGAAGCGTGGGTTCACCCTGGCGTGTAAGCTGCTTATCCATTTACCACGCTTGCTTTAGGCTCATGCCTGGCCCGGAAAATTGATTTTATATTGAGTGACCAAATTTAATTATTTGGGCCGAATCTTTCTCTTTGCGATGGCGGACAGGAAAAAAATTGTGTTTAAAAAAAAAAAGAAGAATTGCTATTTTTTTCCTCTTTAATCAAATGTCCTTTATCACACTTGTAACATTTCTTAACCTCCCCACTGACTTCTCTTCAGCCAACACTCACACACACACACATAATGTGCAGGTATACACACCGCTTGGAAATTTCAAATGACTATTATAAATAAATCTGGCTTCTCTTGAACCTCTAGTGCTTTCCATCTCTGAACACTCACACACATGCACACACACACACACATATGCAAACACACACAAACACACATCCATCTAAATGTAAATCATGTAATTCTTGCCTTCAGGGAAACTTGCTTCCCACCACCCAGCCTCTCTCACAGGTGGTGATTTTCCTGTGGATGTATTTTAAGGAACAGACGGATTGAAATGCTTTACGCTGCAGCCCCTGGCTGTCTCTACATGTGTGTGTGTGTGTGTGTGTGTGTGTGTGTGTGTGTGTGTGTGAGATCATAGATGAGGTTAGAGGGTATGGAGTAGAGAGCTGATGAGATGCTGAGGACAGATTAGTCCTCTATTGTGTGTGTGTGTGTGTGCGTGTGTGTGTGTGTAAAGACTAATGGCCTCTGGTCTGATCTAATCCCTCAATCAATGGGAGAACAGCTTTCTTTCGAACCACAATCAGCGATAACATCTTAACCCATGCATGCAGTACACACATACCCTGTATTTGTCAGTCTGCTTGTTGATAGCAGTTGTCACATGTCCCTGTGTGTGTGTGTGTGTGTTCATGTGAGCGGGTTTCTGTTTCTGTTTTTATGTATGTATGTGTAGTTCTTGGCAGACCTGGAGTCCAACCCTCTGCTGCGGGACAGTATGGAGTGCCAGCGACTGCTGATGGAGGGCATGAAGTATCACCTCTTGCCCCAGCGCCAGCCTCTGCTTCAGAGTCCCCGCACCCGGCCCCGCAAGGCTACCGTCGGGGCCATGTTCGCCGTAGGGGGCATGGACGCTACGAAAGGTACACACACAAATACACAACCAGACTTTACAAATAGACTATATTATTATTATTACCAGCTGTAACAGTGTGTGGCTGGTATTGTTTTCACCTTCTGAGTCTGTGTGTGTGTGCATGGTGAAATGAGCACAGTGGTTTTGAATACCTTGTCAGGTGCTTATATTTCTCAATAATGTCACAACCGCTCAAGATGCAGTCACAAACTTTACGGGTGTGTATATGAGATCAAAATGAAGGCCCAGTTTGAAGATAGACGTGGTCTGAGCAAGGGCGCAGGAAGTAGGGGGGTGTAGGAAGTGGGGAAGGGGCCAAAGCCCCCCCCGTCGCAAGATGGTCTCTAGTTGTAGTAAGTTTCTGTATTTTTATTTTTATCTGGTCATTTATTAAATAGTACGCTGTAGAGAACTGGCCACAAATAATATAACCAGGAATGTTGGGACTATATAGTCAGCACCTTGGATAAAGCTGCAACAGTTAGTCAATTAATCAATCAACAAAAAATGAATCTGCAACATCCATTTTTCAAGAAAAGGATGCCAAAATGATCTGGTTTCAGCTCATCAAATGTCATTTTATTTCCGTATGCTAGTCAACTAAATACCTTGGACAAAATGGTAGTTTTAAGTAAGTAAGTCTCATTCAGCTTGGGGAAATTTTTCATTATTCTCTGTCATTTTACTCATCACTGATAACTCCTAAACAATGGGGAGAATAATCAATAATGAAAATAGTTACTTGTTGTAGCCCTAAAGTCAGGCAGCAGGATGACTAAGCACAATGTATAATTTAAGAAAACAAAATTTAAACATATTTTTTTCTTAATTCTGGCTTGATGGAATAACCATCCTTTATCTTGTAATCATGAGAATACGTGAGGAAACTTTAGCTGAGATGATCATAAACAGAGCTCATTGATCCATGTGTGTTTGAAGACACTGTGTCTCTACACACAAACACACAGAGTCTACCCTTAGGGAGTGAGATTAGTAAATTAGTAAGTAAGTTAGTGCAGTCGATTACTTTTTTCTGTTGTTTTCTCCAGGTGCCACCAGTATCGAGCAGTACTGCCTGCGTCGGGACACGTGGAGGCAGGTAGCCACCATGAGTGGACGGAGGCTACAGTTTGGTGTAGCTGTCCTCGACGGCCGTCTCTATGTGGTAGGCGGCCGAGATGGACTCAAGACCCTCAACACTGTGGAGTGTTACAACCCTCACAGCAAGGCCTGGAGCGTCATGCCTCCCATGTCCACACACAGGCACGGCTTAGGTGAGCCCTAGAATGAATACAAGCGGGATTTACGTACTACATTACAAGCCGAAAGGAGCTTGGAAATGTCAAGAAGGCCAATTATTTAAAGAGGAAGGATTATGTCTTTGTTATTTGAATTTTGAAAAATATGATCGTTGCTAAAAAACAAACAATTGTTTTCGCTCCTATGGCAGTGAGGTCAAAGGTCAGTTTCAGCTACACAAGAGCACCTCAACAGTAAGGGATTCAGTGTCATGCTTGCATATCTTGTTTGAAGGACAGACTCCCCCACTCACTGTGCAAGTGACACAGTTATGATGACAACATTTGATAAGGCCTGCTATGCTGCTGCTCCGCTGTTTTTTTTTTTATTATAAATGTGTGCGTGTGTGGCGATTCAAACGCACATCTGGCCCCCACAGATGTTCAGGCAGATAAATCCCCTGAGTGTGGAGGTGCCAACATGCTGCTAACGGTTGATGTAGCAGGGCGTGGTTACACACACAATGAAAACTCAGTGTTTGCTCCTACACGTGTGTGATTTGTATGAGCTTGTCCAAGCTGATAGTAGTTTTGGTAAGTTGCCATGATTTAATCGTGCACATGCGGTTGTGTTATCGCAGGCGTAGCCGTCCTAGAGGGGCCCATGTACGCGGTAGGAGGACATGATGGCTGGAGCTACCTCAGCACAGTGGAAAGGTAAGAGGACACTTCACACAGCTGTTTAAGTCTGTTGTTTACTCTGCTGAAAATGTTTACCATGCTGATTGGAAATAGTTCAAATATAAACTTTTGAGAGCAGTTTCTGTAGATTATCTAGAGCCTTTAGTAATTTAAGGTCCACTGCTGATTGTTAAATAAATTGTGAGGACCATCATCCCAAATAAAGACAAAAAACAACAACTGGACTGTAAATATGTGTTATGCCTCTGTCAGCTGTAATGATGAATATAAAATTAATATTCTGTTTACCGTCACCCAAATCCAAATTGAATGTATTCAGGGTCATATCTTTCCACCACACGCTTTGGAGCTTTTACTGGTGCAGGTTGTCATTGAAAAGAAACGATCCATTTAGTGTCACTATATCAGAGGGACTGTTAGCTACAGTGGCAAGGCACCTTTGTCTCTCCCTGACGATGTGTCACGATTAAACAGTACTGGCCACTGAAATTTATTTTGGCGTTTTTTTTATTATGTGAATTCTTGAGCACATTTTGATTAAAAAAATAACTAGCTTTGTCAATTACACAAATTTTTTTAAATATTTAATCATACTATTTGGCAGTACCTCCGTGGCCCACTAGATGGCGCTCTGATGGCCAGAAGAGGAAAACAATGTTGCTTAAAGATGCAGTGATAACTCTTAACTGCGCTGTATATTTAATCACGTGTTGGACATTCAGAGTTTCGATTAGCCATGTTTTATTATGAGCAGGACTGAGAAGTTGCTAACATAATTTCCACCAGGTGGGACCCCCAAGCTCGACAGTGGAGCTTCGTCGCAAGTATGGCAACACCCAGAAGCACAGTGGGAGTAGCTGTACTCAATGGCAAGTAAGTAAACCCTCACACGTATTGATTGCTTCGCGCATCCACGTAAATCCAAGTAAAATGTTCAATTTAAGCACATGCACTGTTTCATTGCACATGCTTTTTGTTTGTGTGGGACGTTTGTTTTGTTGACATCTTGCTCTTGTCCTTATGGATGCTGTATGCCCTCATTCAAGATGCTTTGGACAAAAGCCTCAGCCAAATTGATGCAATTTAATAGATTGTTGACATTTTTAGCAGAAATGACACACAAATTGCCTCACTGTACTTAATCATAAGATAGTGTCATTTATACTGTATAACTGTGTACTTATAAATACTGCACCACCCACCTCATTATTGTACCAAGCCACTGTGTGGCATAGAAATAGTGAATTAATAAACAAAATCCAGTGTTTGTGGTTTGGAGAGCAGTGACCTATGGATTTTTAGCATTTTATAACAGCATTTTTTAAAACCAAACACTTTTGGTCCTGCAGAAAGCACCGTAGTATTTTCTCCTGGAGGAGAAAAAACAAAATGTCTTTGTTGTGTGAGAACATTCTTAGACCTCCACACTCTGCTTGTTCGAAAGCATCACAGGTAAGGTTATGTTACTGTAACCACTGTGCCTTTCCCGCGCGACGACACTCTGCTTGTTCGAAAGCATCACAGGTAAGGTTATGTTACTGTAACCACTGTGCCTTTCCCGCGCGACGCACTGCAGCATCAAGCAGTAATGGAAAAGGTGACAGCACTCACAGTCGCACAGCACACACGCACACATGCACAAACGTGCAAATGAACAGTGGGATTCGTGAAGTTCAGGACTTGAATCTCCTCACTTGCCTCGTAGTTCTCCTGCAGCCGACAGTATGAGTTATAATTGCGATGAATATTGCACCGTTGTTTTTATTATTCAGTGCCTCATAGAGATGCTACAGAGAAAGGCTTTTTAGATGCTAATTAATACAGAAACAACTGATTTGTGCTTAGCATGCCCAGCAGTTGTGCGTGTGTATGTGTGCGTGTGCGTGTGAGTGCGTGCGTGCACACAAGGCTGTGAGTGCATGCATGTGTTGTGTATTCTCCAGGCTCTTTGCCTGATGGAGCTCATTACTCGCTTGACTGGTTCGGATGCACTTCTTTCCTCGCCCCCTAACTCCACATCATGGATGTACACACGCACATACACACTCCCACTGACTGACTCCTCAGGGTTGTGATGCCCCCAAGAGTTCTGGCTGATTGATTTTGCTCACCTCACTTTGTCACAGAAATCCTGTAAAACCGCACCCACATAAATACACCCTTGCACCATCTGTTTCGGTGTCGCTAAATGTTTTGTGTGGCAGGTGTGTGTGTGTGTCTGTGTGTGTGTGTGTGTGTGTGTGTGTGTGTGTGTGTGTGTGTGTGTG